ACCGTGATCTGTCGTCATAATTTTTCTGACCTTCCCTTAGCTTGGCTGGCCACTTGACGGAAGGCTCATCTTTTATTTCGCTCAGAATTCGATATATTGGCTTTTTGAACACCGTTGTTATGGCAGTGCGGATTCTTAACCATTTTTTGTCTGGGTCTTCCCCGTTATCTCGTCTGCCACGCCCGTTTTTATTCTGCCGATCTACTGTATTGACCTTTGCTGAGGTCTTCTTTTCTAGTACTGCGGTTGCACTAGATTTTGCTTTTGCACGTGCGCTATCCTCTTCTACCCTGATGTGCTGATGCACTCTTTTCATCAGGGCCTCCATGGTGAGGGGTGGCGTCATGGTAATTGAATCCCTCAGTCTGTTCCTTACTGGTAGGCCTCTTTTATATTGCGCGATGGCTAGATTGGTGGGGCAGTCTCCAATCTGGTTGAATGTCTCCCAGTAGCGACTGTTGTAAGATCTGAGGGTCTCTTTTTCACCCATGTCGATGGAGAGTAACTGGTCTATCTCCACCGGTGTTTTAGTGTTTGTTCGAAACCTCGTTACGAACGCTTCTGCCAATTGGGCCCAGGAGGCTATGCTGCCCTCTGGGAGCTTTTCGAACCAAGTCAAGCCTAGGTCGCCAAGACTTGACGGGAAGAGTATGCACATTAAGGCCTCGTTTCTTCTGTACACAGCCATGACTTGCCGAAAGTGGCTCAGGTGTGAATACGGGTCCGTCTTCCCTTCATAGGTAGTGAATTTCGGCTGAAGGAAGCCTGATGGTAGGGGCGCTTTTTCGATTGCTGGAACAAACGGCGAAGTCTGTAGTCTTGTCAATGCCTTGTCCGTTGGTTCGTAGGCCGGTCGCGGTATTGGCATTCCAACCTCAACGCTTCCATGCGTCCGAGGAGCCAACCGTTGTAAGGCCGAAACTCGGTGTGGATCCCTTGCCCTGGCATCCTCCTTGCATCGTGCTTTTTCTTCGAGCACGGTTCGTAAGTCGGATGACCTGGGCAGCTCTGTTTGTCTAGATCTGGTTTGGTGTGAATGTGAAGGCCAATACGTGCTTCCTTCAGTGTATGATCTTTCGGATCTCGTCCTCTCAGACCTGGAGTGACGAGTCCTGGAAGATAAGGAATGAGTGTCGCCTGTCCTGAGGCTTCTGCTCCTTCCTTGGGAGGGTGTAGTATTCCTACTACGATTCTCTGAGTGGCGAGGGGGCGTCTTGTGCTTGCGCCCCTCTCCTGTCGCCACATCTTTAGTCTTCATCTGGCGTTTCAAAGCCTCCATGTCCGCCGCCATCTTCCGAATTAGTTCATCTTGTTCCTTCACGCGATCTTCCAGGGCTTGAGGATCAATCCTCCTCCTTTGCCTGTCAGGACTTTGAGAGTGACGAGGGCTGCTATTCCGCCTTCCCCTGCCACTCCTCCTGGAATTATGTTGTTGGGGCTCCAAGTCCGCCATAGGAGGGACAGAGGGTAATCCTTCACGCCTTGCACGCCCTTGCCGTTACATTTGAAACGGAAAAAGTTAAAAAAAGTTACATTTGGGCCCCAAATTTCAAAAGAAAGATGCAGATCAACCTTTTCCTACCAGCAAACCACTACTACCAACCACTGCTTTAAGCCCTTTTATCTCCTTCGTTATAATTTCGTTTTGAGAAAAGGAGAAGCTTAGTCAAGAGGTTTTTGTTCTTGTCTGTTCTTCCCACAGACGGCGCCAATTGTACGGGGAGGAAATAATTCTCCTCGTATAATCCTGTTGACCAAGTCCACGCTCCTCCGTACGACGTCGCTTTATCACCTGAAAACACAAACGTAAGCTAGCCGGCAGGTGTATGCCGGAAACCTCTCCGATGCCTAAGTCAGTAAGCTTGACAAATAGACAAAGTTTTATGCTCTCAGAAAGAATTATGTTCAATTACCTCCTCCAAGGTGATGTTTGTGGGCTTTTATAAGTTTCCCGTGGCACTGTTAGAATTTACCATAACCCACTCCACCTACCACCTCCACTACCACACACACTCACCTACTTCACCTACTTTCCTACACCTACCACACACACTCACTTACTCCCAAATCCTCTCCTATATAATAGGAAGCCTTGTAATATCAACAACACAACAATCAGATATCAATCAATAAATACATCAATTTTAACATGGTATCAGAGCAAGGTTAAGAAGCTAATAATTCTGCTTCACCGGCGGGCGGCAGCCTCGCCTTGGCCACCCGCCGGACCTCTACACATGCCTTCACTCTCTCTCTGCCAGAACCCTACATATAGAAGCTCCATTACCTCTCTGCTGCTCGTCAAACATGGCGGCCGGCACTTTACCATTTGACTCGTTTCCTATCGGCAATAGTCGGCTACGAGTTCGCTGAAACCCTTCTCGACTCTCTCCGACTCTCTCGCTTTCAAGATGTCTGAAGCTGAAGCACCCTTTAGACCAAGAGAGAAGATATTTGAGAAGCAAAAATATTTCCAAAGCATCCATAAACACACATATCTGAAAGGTCGATATGATAAGATCACCTCTGTTGCCATTCCAGCAGCTCTGGCAGCTACTTCTCTGTTTCTTATTGGACGGGGCATCTATAACCTGTCTCACGGAATTGGAAAGAAAGAATGACAAGGTGATCTCCGCTCCTTGATGGCCTGTCTGGCAGCTCAAATTCTAAAATTATGACTGGTTTTGTTCTTGAAAGGTTATAGTAGCATGTGTTTAATAATTGCATAGTCGCAGCCTTGTAGTCCGGCGTCTCCGCCACCATCCTCTGCCAGACTCTCTATTCCACCACCCGAATGGGTCTCTACGAAGTCTTCAAGCAGAAATGGACCGCCACCAACTCCGGAACCCTTTGCTCTCTCTCCCTCTCGGAAAACACTGCTACACTCTTATTTCTTTATTTTTATTTTTTTTCTTTTTCTTTTACTTCCTTTATCACCACTCACCCATGTGATCCCACTATCCTTTTTCTTTATTTTATTTTATAATCCTGATTTCTCTCTTCTTTCCACCGAATTCCACTCAATTTGTCTCCCTCTACTCAAGGACACCCTCATAAAATAACATAAAAAAAAACATATCAGCAGCAGAGGGAAAAGGGCCACCCACACACACACAAACCCACGTGATTTCCCACTTTCTTTTCTTTTAATATTATATATTATATATTTTTTATAATATATTTCCCCCAATATATTTCCCACCATCCTCTAGAATAATAATTCTTCACAACACACTCCCACTTGACCCATTTTTTCTTTATTTATTTTATTTATTTTTCGATTCCCTTCTTTTCACAAAAAAAAAAAAAAAAAAATCCCAACTTTTGGCACAACAACCAATATTTTATTTCTCTCAGGGATCCCACCCGACCCAATTTACATCAAAAAAAAAAAAAACAAAAAACAAAAAAAAAAACAAAAAAAAAAACAAAAACAAACAAAACCAAAACCACAGCTTTGTTTTCTTATTCTGCAGCCGCCACCAAATCGAGCCTTCACTCTTCGCCTATTCCGCCGGTCCTTTTCTTCTTGCCTCCGCCTGAGCGGCCCTTGTTCGGTGTTGGTCCTCGTGCTTCCTAGACCACCAAGCAAGGTTGCCTCCTCCCTGCTCCTCCACTGCACATATGGCGCCCTCCAAATCGGTAACATTCACGGTGGCCTTCCGCTTCCAAGCTCCTTGTTTTCTGCCTTTAGCACGCTATCTCTGCTCGGCACCTACCTTATACATGCGTTGGGAGCAGAGCGCAGCTGGGAGTTTAATTGCCTTGCACGCTCATTCTGTCCTACTCTGCAGCCGCTCTGACAAGTTTGTGACCGCCGTCATGGACTCCACACATGGCTCAAAGTATACTGATTAGCCTCTCCACATCACGTTTGCACGCGCATTTTGTGCTCTCCACCGAACTGCATCGGAAAGTTCAACGGAGCAAACCCAGTAGGTGTTTGTTGAGGTTCAACGGGACAGCCGCCCCAGTTATCTTCGCTTTGGTTCAGTCACCGCGATCACGTCATATGGATCTTCATAGGTTGAGGTCGGGAAAGAGAGTAAAGCAGAAGGACGCCGGAACGAAGAGGCCATTTTCTGGACAACAGAGTGTTACGAATATCCTCTCGCAACAGAGTGTTACAGGAATCTCTCTCAGAAATCATCTCTCAGAATATCTCTGCGCCAGGTTTTTTTGCCCTCAGCCTTCAGGCCTCAGCCTCTTGTCTTATAGCCGAGGCAGCCACGCGCATCGCGGCGCCTCTTACCACCAGCCGCAAACGGGCACGCAAGCCAAGGCGCCCACGTGCCTCGCCATCAGTCCGGCCACACCTTTTGATGATTGGGCACGCCTTTTGATGCACGGCTTTTGCAAAATTTGGCCACACCTTTTGAGGGTGCCACTTTACAAGGGTCCGACAAGACTCTGTAAATGTCCCGACCATAGATTCCGGTTAGTTTTCTACAGGGTCCGACAAGACTCCTGTAAACTTGTCCCGACATTGATTCCGGTTAGCTCCTTCAAGGGTCCGAACAAGGAACTCTGTAAACTGTCGCCGACATTGATTCCGGTTAGCTCCCCTCATGGGTCCGACAAGACTCTGTAAACTGTCCCGACATTGATTCCGGTTAGCAGTCCTTTCATGGGTCCGACACGACTCTGTAACTGTGCCGACATAGATTCCGGTTAGTTTCTACAAGGGTCCGACCAAGACTCTGTAACTGTGTTCCGACATAGATTCCGGTTAGTTTCTTTACAAGGGTCCGACAGACTCTGTAAACTGTCCCGACATTGATTCCGGTTAGCTCCTTTCTGGGTCCGACAAGACTCTGTAAACTGTCCCGACATAGATTCCGGTTAGTTTCTACAAGGGTCCGACAAGACTCTGTAAACTGTCCCGACATTGATTCCGGTTAGCTCCTTTCTGGGTCCGACAAGACTCTGTAAACTGTCCCGACATTGATTCCGGTTAGTTTCTACAAGGGTCCAACAAGACTCCGTAAACTGTCACACAACTGTCACAGCATTGTCTGCTACAACGGTCCGACATGACCCCATACAGTGTCAATCTACAACGTTATGACACCACCATACAGTGTCCTCTACCACGTTATGACACCCCCATACAGTGTCATCTACAACGTTATGACACCACCATACAGTGTCCTTACACACGTTATGACACCACCATACAGTGTCTTCACCAACGGTCTGACACGACCATACAAGTCTCCTATCCTTTTTTTATGAATTTTCTGTTTTGTTTCCTCTCTCAAACTCAAGTTGGTTAGTTTCTATCCTCCTTGAGTTTGCGGGGGGCTGTTTAGAATTTACCATAACCCATCCACCTACCACCTCCACTACCACACAGAACTCACCTACTTCACCTACTTTCCTACACTACCACACACACTCACCTACTCCCAATCCTCTCCTATATAATAGGAAGCCTTGTAATATCAACAACACAACAATCAGATATCAATCAATAAATACATCATCCTAGTAGGACTTGTATTTCTAAACTTGCAGAGTCCTCCTAGGATTCATACTCCTAAGGATAATGCTTATCCTTTTACACCTCCCCCACTGCTTAAACCAAGTGGATGGTTTTCTCCATGGCCGAACTACCATTTGAACCGAGGGTAAAGTAGGCCGAACTAACCTTAGTTCAGCCCTTCCCTTTACTCTTCCTTATATCGGTTTCTCATCTGTTAAACCCATGGTGTGTTTGGACCGAACCAACGACTCTCGACCGGTATAAGTCCCAAACTGGTAACCTCTAAGGTCGGTATAATTCAAGTTGCTCCCAGACCGTAAGTACATTTCAATCCTCTAACCGAAGTAACTTTATCATTTGTGAGCCGAAGTAATTTCACCTCCTTGGGCCGGAGTAACTTTGTCTCTCCAAGGCCAGAGTAACCCTGCTCTCCTGGGCCGGAGTACATTTACGCCCTTTTTAACTTAGTCCTTCGCGTTTTGGGCCTCAAAGCCCAACTCGCAGCTCGGCCCAATTTTTCCCAAAAATTACCCCTCTCAATAATAATAATTTTATTTCAATTATTATGTGTATTAATATCATTAACTCTATCGTGTTATAGAAGTGTAACTGAAATAAATATATTAATGATTTTATATGCACTAAACAAAAAAGTAGATTTCGCGACTAAAACAGCATTTTTCGTCGCTGAAAGTAGTAGAATTGGCGACTAAAATGGAATTAGTCATCAAAATTGATCACTTTTGCGACTAAAAGAGTTTAGTTGCCAAATATAAGGGTTTTTAGCGACTAAAAGGCAGTTCAGTCGCCGAATATAGGGTTTTAGCGACTAAGGTTGTTAGTAGCCAAAAGTCACGGTTTTTGGAGACTAAAATAATTTAGTAGCCAAAAGTGATGGTTTTGGCAACTAAAAAACAGTTTGGTCACCGATTATAGGTGTTTTGCAGACTAAAAACAGTTTGGTTTGCTGAAAGTGAAGCTTTTTGGCTACGAAAAAAAATTAGTTGCTAAAAACAGTTAATTGCCGACTAAACTCAGTTTAGTAGCCAAAAGTGATGGTTTTGGCGACTAAAACAGGTTTAGTCGCCAAAACTGCTTTATTTTTAGGTGGAACTTAATTTTTTAGCGACTAAAAACTAATTAGTAGCCAAAAATTATAGAATTGCGACTAAAATTAATTTAGTCGCCAAAAGTGGCCTAAATTTTTTTTAGTAAATAATTTATTTTACATAAATTATATTGAATAAAAAAATTATATTATATATATTCGTCTTGTATTAATACCGGTCAATATAGCTATTAAATAATATATATTACATTATATTCATGTGATGTTGTAGTGCATAGTGGAGGGAGTGTGTTGCTAAGGTTTGGAATGTGGGACGGTTGGCAGTTTGAAACTCAGAAAAAGCAAAAAAGTGGGTATTTTTTTTTTTCGACGGAAACACCTTTGGCGACTAAAATTATAGTTGCCAAAAGTCTTTATTTTGGCGACTAAACGGTTTAGTCGGCGATTCAGTGAGTTTTGGCGACTAAATTATTAGTCGGTAAATGTATGATTTTCAAAAGTGTAAAACACTATTGGCGACTAAAACTTTGGTCGCTAAAACCTGTATTTTGCCAATAACCTCCGCCGATCACGTATACGAGACAAATGTGGTGATTAAAAAATTTGTCGGGGAAAGTAAAATTTCGATAGTAAAATAAACACTCAATTTGACATTAATAATAATAGTTAAATTGAAAAGAAAAATAGTAACGTACAATTAAAAGTGATTCTAATTATTATTTTTATTAGTTGAAAATAATAAAAAAAAGTAGGAATGGAAGTTATAAAAAAAATTATTTTAAAAATTAAATATAGTATGTTGTGATTAGATTAAGGAAAAAAAATAGATAAATTAATTACGTTGAGTATTGATTTTTTTTTAAATCTATTTTAAAACTATTTATACATATTATATATATATGTGTATATAAAGTTTAAATTAAATATAAAATTTCCTAATAAACGACTTCATATTAAATAGGGAAACTCAATATAAACTAATAATAAAATAATAAATAAGATAGACAAAAAATAAAAAAAAAATAATTTTAATATAAAAACTGAATACTTTGAATAAAAGTGAAAAAAGAGAGAAGAAAATTAATTCATAAAG